ATTTATACAAGCGCCTTAAAAGTTCCTATCGTCTGAACTGTTCCAACTTCCAAAACATTTATAGTTCACAAGTCGAGTTCAAACAACGAAGAAAAAAAAGAAACAGAAAGAAACTCACCTAGGAACCAAAACACTAATCATTTTACGCAACATCAACAGGTGAAAACTTTATAAGTATAAGCTCGACGAATGAAAAAAGAAACAATAAAAACCTACCCTAAATGAAGCTCTCACGCTTTTTGCTCATTTCTATCCTGAATCAAGAAAGAAAATAGAAAACAAAAGCCATTAAGTGGGTTCACCTTTCTTTGTGTCAAACCAAGCTTCAGTATCTAAGAAAATTGCAGTTAAAGGAAAAAAGCATGAAATTGAGTCGCTTCTTCCCAAAAGCCTTCGGAGCGGTCCAAGTAATAGCGTTGGGGCGCGCTCTGCCATGTACCGACGATCGCGGCGATCGCCGAGGTCGCCGCGATCGCCGCTGCTGTCGCGAAGTATGAACGCTGCCTTACAATTTGAAGGCAGATTTCGCAATGAGCCTGCGAAAATTTGGCTCGCGGTGTTAGGAAAAAAGAAGTGTATGCGCTAGTTGATGTGAAGAACAAAAGAGAGAAACCATCAAAAACGTTTTAAGTGAGGCCCTACTTGTGCCAAGGTAGAGAATCAATGTGGATATATGGCGAGAGGCCAGGCAAAGCAGCGAGTATGCAAGCAAGCAAGACAACAAATAAGACATCTACCAACGCGGTCGGAGTTACTTGATCAACTTTGTGCCCTACGGTCGCTACCTTACCACTTTCTGACGTGAAATTTACACACGCCCAAACTACCCTTCCCTTCCCTTCCCTCTCCCGAATTCAGATGCTTGTAAATAATTGTGGGCTCTACCTGAAGGCATAAGGCTTGGTAGTTTGGTACTTAGTTCAGAATGGTAGCAGGGGTGCAGTGGGGAAAATGACGAATTTGTGGGTGGGCGTCCGGGTCGGTATGTAGCAGCTTGAAGTGCGCTATAAGGGTACATTCCTTGGGAAAGGCGCTCCGCAGCGTCTGCTCAGGGCGCCGAATTCAGTCCTACCAGGCGTATTAATCCTACACGTCGTGCAGATTTATCATGCCACCTGCTTTTGAGTGCATTACCTCATTGGCCGTTTTGCGTCATTTTTACGATCTAAGACAATATTTATCCGCGAGTCTTCCACAAGTATCTTTCCATTATAATCATACTGTTTCAGGAAAGTCGGCTCTTCTCTCGGATCAAGAGAAGAAGTTCGCTGAGAGATATGCAAAAATTGAAGCCCAACTCATGGGGAAAACATGCCTAAGTGAGAATTCATTGTGTTATCTGCCTCCGTTCTTTGTGTGACTGACTTCATTTATGACAAAAATGGATTTCAGGTCGGCTTCAACCGTCTTTTCATAAAATTCCTGTTCCCCGCCCAGATCTGGAATGCGAAAGGGTTAGTGAACTGTCTCAATAAATCTGCTTTTTGTTCTCCACAGTTTCTCGAGCTGGATTCCTGAGGCAAAAGGCTCTCGTTCTCTAATAACAGGCTTAATCAAAAGTAGTTTGATGAGGCTCACACGACGACAGTGGGATGTGGCCAAGACGCACGGAGTTGCGGCAACGCGGCGGAAGCAATATTGCGTCGCGACTGCGGCGCCTGCGTGGTATTTGGATAGGGCGTGTCACATCCAATCAAACTCTCCTCCGCTTCCGTTAGCTTGTGTCCACTGACCACGTTTCCGTGGCAGTATGACAGCCGTGTCCTCGATTTAACTTGTATTGATCAGATAATGCCCATCCGTTCCCAGTAGGGACGAAAGAGATTCGTACACTTGCCCTGATCTTATGCCATAGTTTAGATTTGTTTTGATTCTTTATCAATGCTTGCATGGGCCTGCGCCTGCACTGCTTCGTGCGGCTCAGGTGGAAGGGCAGTGCTTGCAGTCCAAGGAAAGTCTCCCTCAAAGCTTCGGCGGTATAAGGTAGACTGCTCGCATGCTACGCAGGGCCCGGTTTCGTTTCACGGCCCATGCAGTGGGAAATAGGGTGTAAAATGCGAGAGACTGGCCCTTCTAGTTTGCAGAGAAGACGAAAAAATCGTCACCAACGACAGCACTATAAGCAACACAATCAGTAGCGGACAACGTGAAGAACAACTGCAGCCATTTTGTTATGATTATCATGTTTTGTAACGGATAGCGCACTCGCCCGGAAAGCGTGAGGTGCGGGTTCGACTCCCGCCTGGGGTTCGACTTTTGCCCATAACTCAGCATTCTTGTGATAACTGCAGCCATTATTCCTGCAAACGACAGGGATATGGAGAAGTACGGAAATAAGCGCGACAAGCACAGCCTTTTTCACCAATTGTTGCAGACTCAGAATGTATTATTTGGTGGAAAAGGATGCCTTAGCTACGCTTCAATCCATTTCCCTTCGTTTGTTTCTTTATTGCGAAGATAATGACTGTATGTAGTCCCTTACCACGCCGGAAGGGAGCAGGAGCGGTAGAGGATCCTGTTCCAAGCCAGACCCTACTCCCCATCGATAGTTAGACACCATCCTATCAAAAAAAATCATTGAAGGTTGTTCTATGGAATTTTCGCTCTCAACGAACTAGCCCCGCAATCAACTAATGTTCAGGTATACGCAGAAGTGCTGGAGGATAACGCGGAGTCAGCCATCGTACCCGACTATCAAGACAAAACTGCTGAAGTGGTTGTTGAATTGGAGAAGGGAACTGTTCATTTGCTACCGTTTCAATCTGTTCAGCAACAAGTCGAACAGGGTACCGTACGATTATTGTAGTTCTCACTGCTGTCTTGTTCTTTAGAGGGATTACCATTTTATTTTGCCTTTTTGTTACTTTTGATGACTTATGACATTCCTGGCCTCACTGTTCAGCATCGGGTTAGCTTAATCAGCAGGTCGTTTATTTTGTCTCTACGATAATCACTTTTTGCTTTGTTTATTGACTGTTTCCGTGTATATGCATTGCACTACATTCTTTTCATGTTTTTAGGTGTTCATAAAAGAAGTGTTCAAACAACAACTATCAGTCTGTTTGTAATACAGCAAAAGATCGCGGCATAGCGGAAGCTGAGCTGTTAAGTTTAAGTTCTTACGTGTGAAGCGTCTTATAGTCTTGTTCGCTTCGGATATTGGTGCGTGTCAGGGGCTGGGCTTAGCGCAGCGCCAGCTCGATCCTCCTTTCACGCCTTATCATCCGAAACGAACAAGGTTGTGACGATAGGTAGCCTACATAGTTCTTGTTTATTATGTGAACCCTTCATGTTGAGGAGAATCTCATCAGCTGCCACTCTAGTCTTCGCTCAATTGCAAGTGAGATACCGTGATCAAAGTCATCTTCAGAAGCCCGAGCGACTCGGAACAAGGCACAGGAACCTCGAAACGAAAATGAAATTGACAGAGGCTTCAGACTAGGACCCTGCCGAGCTATAAAGGTTGCTGGTTTTCTGCGGAAAAAAAAACTGGCAGGGTAGGTTGGCGGAAGGGCAGGATATAGGACAATTTAGGTGGAATCTGGAGCCTATATCTTTCCTGTTTTGACAAGAAGCTCATATACGTAGATTTACCTTGCTTTCTTCCAAGTTGTCCCTTCTTGTATAAAAATGGTTTGTAGTAGCTATTCGTGAGGGGAAAACACAAGGAGGTTTGAGATTCACATTTTATTGGGCAGAGGTGGTCTTGTCGTCAAGTATCGAACGCATTCCCAGGCCATTCATCCTCCAAGCACGTAAATCGGTGCCAGGCTTTTGCGGGCTCCCGAAAAAAGCTGACTTGTTCATTAGTTGACCCCTGGAAGTCGTCTTATAGGCCATATTGCTCTCATTAAGATAGTACGATTTCGAACATAAGCTCTAAAAGGGGATTGATCAAAGGCAAAATCTTTACCCTTGTACTGCAAGCTTTCAACTCGATGCTTACAAGACCAGAGCAAGCTGTCCACTCCAGGACATTAGACCTACTCCATTCGACAGGGTATTTAAGGAAATGAAGTTAGTTAGAGGCGCTTTTATACTCCTCATCATTACGGACTGTCGGGGCGGGTC